TAGATTTCAGTAGAGAAGTTAATCACCATATAGGCTTTGGGGGTTTGAACTCTGGCACAAGCTCTCATTGTCAAGGATTTTTAACTATTCGAATGCAATGATTTTGTTTCTCAGGGAAAAGTCCTCAAGGTGGGAAACCACCTGATTAGCTTATAACCATGGTTCATTAGTTTGGATGTGCTATTGACACATGGTGTGTTCTAAATCATAAAATGTAAAAAACAAAGTTCCTGCCTCCATTTGCTGTTAAAGGGTGCCAACAAAGCAATAATTATGAAACATACATTTTTAAAATTATTGCTGGTAGCACAGTTGACACCAACCGATAATAGCTTTTTGAGTTCCACCTAGTTTCATTCTGCCTGTTATTTTATTCTCTGTTAAAGTTTTGGCATCACAGTCCTCTCAGAGATTACTGTGGTGTAATTACAGATTAGGTGCAAGCATAAGAGCCTGGAATATGCCAGTCCCTTAAGTGGGCTCAGATCTCTGGTGGCTCTCAGTGTGAGCATCTCACAACGGTGTGTCTGGTTCTACTGTTTAAAAATGCGTATTTTTCATACATCATGGCCCCTACACTACATCACTTGATGATTAATGGAAGAAACAATGACCCATGTCAACACTGCAGGGAAATCTGGCTCTGCAGGATTTAGCAAGAGGTCACAGAGAGGTCACAATGAATCCACTATTCATGTCATCAACATGAGAGTCACCATACTGTGGCTTTGAGGGTTCCAGTGGCTGCTAGGTGACCAGCCAAGTATGTGATAAGGCTTTAGAGAGACTGCAAAGTATTAAAGCTATGGCTAGACGACGTGAAATCTAAAGACATATCTATCGATGGCAAAGTTCTAAGAAAAAAGGGAAACCACCACCAAAGAGGGGATGGACTTGTGATAGACAACGCAGAGCCCGCTAGGGGTGGTTGACAGATTTCAGAACTCCTTACCTGAAAAAATGTGTGGTGTCGGCAAAGCTGCATCTGCTGATAAAGAGCTAGAAAAGCCTCTCCCCTAAACGATGGAAGAAATCATGGAAGAAAAATGTTCTCTCTGGGAAGGATATGTTCTGCTTCTTCGGATAATGGTGACCATGCATGAATTTGCCTTTTGCTATACCTACTTCCATTGTAAGACTCGACTCCGCTGAATGAGACAGTCTCTTTTTTTTTTAACAGTGTTTGAATTAGTTACCTCCGAAAGATAATGGTCAAGAATATATTTCTTCATCACAGTTTTAAAAAACAGTAAGGTATTAAAGAGCTTGGTTCCAGGCTTCTCTCTAGAACAGTGCAAATTTACCCACGTGAGTCCTTTTTTAAAACAATTATTTTCTTTATTTTAGGTAAAAATTGAACACATGTTCGCTATATTTAAAAGCTTATTTAAAAATCTTGGTGAGATTTCTGTAACTTCCAACGGGAAAATTATTTAAATATTCCAACAAGTAATGCAGCTGACACGTAAAGATAAAGAAAAGAAATTGGAGTGAAACTCTAGCTTTGCCAATAGATGTATTTTGCATAAATAAAACTTATTTCAAGTTGGACCTTTTAATATGAAGTAATAAGTAATTTAATCAGAATTCTTTTTTTTTTAATAAATAAATTTATTTATTTATTTATTTTTGGCTGAGTTGGGTCATCGTTGCTGCGCGCGGGCTTTCTCTAATTGCGGTGAGCGAGGGCTACTCTTTGTTGCGGTGCGCGGGCTTCTCATTGCGGTGGCTTCTCTTGTTGCGGAGCACGGGCTCTACATGCGAGGGCTTCAGTGGTTGTGGCACGTGGGCTCAGTACTTGCGGCTTGCGGGCTCTAGAGCGCAGGCTCAGTAGTTGTGGTGCGTGGGCTTAGCTGCTCCGCGGCATATGGGATCTTCTCGGCCTAGGGCTCGAACCCATGCCTCCTGCATTGGCAGGCAGATTCTTAACCACTGCGCCACCAGGGAAACCCCCAATTCAGTGGTTTTTAATATATGCATGGAGTTGGGCAGTCCTCACCAGAGTCAATGTTAGAACATTTTCATCATCCTGAATAGAAACCCTGTACCCTTTAGCTACCCCACCTCCCAGCCCTAAGCAACCACTAATCTACTTTCTGTCTCTATAGATTTCCCTATTCTGGACATTTCATATGCATAGACTCATGTAATATGTGGTTCCCTTGATTTTAAAACGAGGGGGCCCATAGAAGTTCAGAGGTGAAAGCAACCTTCATAATAAGTGATTGATTTAGTCATAGAGAAGGAGCCTGAGGGCCGCTGCCCACTGGGGTCCCGGAACAGGTTGGTGGTCTGGGGAACGCACAACCTGGCTTTCCTGGCCCCTGCTTCTGTGAGGACCAGCCCATCATGCCTCATGCCCTGTAAGCTTGTGTCACCAGCCTAACTTGGTGTGTCCTCTGGTGTTCACTGTTAATGCCCCTGTGAGATGGCAGTTTCTTTCTGGCAAAGGGAGCAGGAGAGGATGCAGCCACTGGGTTAGGGGTGCAGGGAATATTCCATGAATAGCGTTGACTAAGGACTGTCCAGGGAGGACTTCCCTGGTGATGCAGTGGCTAAGACTCTGCGCTCCCAATGCAGGGGGCCTGGGTTCGATCCCTGGTCAGGGAACTAGATCCCACATGCCACAACTAAAGATTCCGCATGCTGCAACTAAAAAGAGATCCTGCACGCGGCAATGAAGATCCCGTGTGCCGCAACTAAGACCTGGCACAGCCAAATAAATAAATAAATATTTTTTTAAAAAAAGGACTATTCAGGGAAATGACCTCTTGGGACAGGCAAAGAACAGTTCAGTGAATTTCTTTTGTAATCCAGATACAGCCGTTTCTAGAGAGCAGAAAGCCCCAAACGAATGCATCCTTCCCCATCAAGCCTGACGGTCCCCTCCAGCGTTCTTACCATCAAAAAGTACAAAGATGCTCTTGAAAAGTTCTGGTAATGAATAGGACCTCTCCTTGCCTTTGGCGTCCCCACGGGCTGTTGGTATGGTGTCCTCCCATTTCTTAACACACACTGAATGTGATTGACATAGCAGATCTACAGCAATTGAAGGTGAGAAGTGGAAACAGCAGTAGGCAGGAAGTTGCCCAGCGTCTAGCTTTTCATGGACAAATCAACATGTTTGTAACCTGAGAATACATCTGCTCCTTTTTCTCTGTCTGGGATAATAAAGGGAAAATAAGAATAATGAATGAAAATATTCTGAGCTCCTAAAGAATCAGGATAGGGCATAATCTAAGTGAATAGTCTGGTAAGTGGCAAAAATAGCATGCCTTTGCTGTTTCATACTTTGTGATACCCATTTCTTCGGCCTGCTGTACTAAGTGATGATCGTGGAATCTTGATGCTAGAGGAAAGAGTTTCTAAGACTTAACACGTGTCCTTGGTGGTGCTGCTTGCTGCCTTTTCTGACTCCAGCTCTGTGGGAATAGAGTCCTTGTTATGACAAACAGCATTCACAGACTTCTATCTGTTCTCAAATATGGGTGTGATAACAAGTGTCAAAGAGTGTCAAAGTCTTGATATTAAGATAATTATTTAAAAGCTTCAAATTGGGACTGGCCTGGCAGTCCAGTGGTTAGGACTCCACGCAGGAGCAGGGATTCGATCCCTGGTCGGGGAACTAAGATCCTGCAAGCCTCGCAGCGTGCCTAAATAAATAAATATTTTTTAAAATAAAATCTTCAAATTGAAGTATATTTCCTCACCTGTTCATGCCCAGGTCTTGCCTGTTAATTTATGTTCCTAGTATGATGTCACACTCTCATGTTCTATTTCATAATAGGGAAAGTTATAAAAAAATTTTAAGTCAAACAGTTTGCATCCTAATGGCTCTGTACATGCTAGTCTATGTTCTTTCTTTCTCAGGAAGACCTTAGCTCTAACTTAAGAGATCCTCAAGGATCCTCAAGTGTCTTCAGAAGATCTAGATATATGAGTAGTTATATTTTTAGAATTCCTTTTCAGCCTGCTATATCCATCCAGATTGGCTAGGGTAGGCGATGGTTAAAAACACCACCAGATTTTGGTGCATTCAAGGAAGCAAGGATTTATTCCTTGCTTGCCCTAGAGGTCTCTTGTGATTGGCTGTGGGTCTGATCCAATTTCCTCAATCTGGAACCCAACCATATGGAACGTGGCAGATCCATTGCAGAGAAAGGAGTGTGGCAGGAACCTCTGCGTGGAAGTGATGTCATTTCCCTGACATCCTCGGCCAAGGCAAGGCACGCGGCCACACACCTTCAAGTGGGCAAGGAATTGAACCACGGGCTCTGAAAGAAACATTTGCGAATATTTCTGAATAGCCTTATAGGACCACGGTACTTAACCCCCGTAGATCCTTAGGCTTCCTATTTTTATGTTGATCTGTTTATCTTTTGCTTACAAACATAATTAAGCCAGATTTTGCAGGGGCAGGACACAATGACAAGTGCTTAGTTCTTGTATGCTCTAGTTCAAAGAACTCTTTTTATGATGTTAGAGAAACTTTTTCAAAGAAACTTTTTAATGCTCACTTGATTTAGAGTCTGGGGAAAATTAGAATGAGCTTTCATGCAGAAGTCCTAGCAGGAAAAGGAAGGAAGGGATTTTCTCTTCCCATCTGTAATACACAAAGCCACTTCTCTCCTCTTCCTGTGTATGTGGACCAGGATGTGGTGCCAGGCATGGTCATGCTGAAATCTGACAAAACAACACTGGATCAATAAAGGACCTTACCTTCCGTCCTCCTCGTCTGGGAAATAGTTAACATGCCTCTCTAGCATACCTGAATTTATTTTATGAGAAGGTGATATCTAGGTTTAGTGGAAAATACACTATGGAAAGTTAGCATTGCTCTACAGAGATCTTAGGCAAATCACTTAAGTGATTGGTTTCTTCACCTTTAAAGGAAGGGTTGAACTAGGTCACCTGGGAGGACCCTCACAGCTCTAAACATGTTGAGCAGGACACTGAATTTCTACTACTCACTTTCCTAATACTTCTCTTTCCTAGGGATCATGGCCCAAGTAGCAATGTCCACCCTGCCCATCACAAATGAGGAGTCCTCGGAGAGCAGGATGGTGGTGACGTTCCTCGTGTCTGCCCTTGAGTCCATGGTGAGATGGCTTTGCAGTTCTATAAAATGTCACGTGGTTCGATCACTGCCAAGCATCAGAATGGTGAAACACTTCACCGACACTTTTGATGTTCACCTTCAGTGTTACGTCCTATCTGTGTACACATATCCTTTTTTATAGGGGATGATGGGCTTGTCAGATAATTAAGAAATTTTTTTTTACATTATGGTTGGAATTGTATAAATGTAATCTCTCTAGATCTGAAAATTTAATGAAGGCCCCTCCGTTACCTTGTTTGAGAATACTTTTTGTTTAAAGTCAAAGGTAAATTAATAATCCAGGGGCAAAAAAATAATAATAATAATCCAGGGGCTTCCCTGGTGGTGCAGTGGTTGAGAATCCACCTGCCAATGCAGGGGACATGGGTTCAAGCCCTGGTGCAGGAGGATCCCACATGCCACGGAGCAACTAAGCCCGTGCACCACAGCTACTGAGCCCGTGTGCCACAACTACTGAAGCCCGCGCGCCTAGAGCCCATGCTCCGCAACAAGAGAAGCCACCGCAGTGAGAAGCCCGCACACCGCAATGAAGAGTAGCCCCCGCTCGCCGCAACGAAGACCCAACGCAGCCAAAAATAAATAAATTTTTTTTTAAATTAATAATCCATTTATATGCATCTACATCCAAAGTGTAAAATTTACCTTGTGGGTGAAAATTTGAGGGGAGATTTACATAACCTCAAAGCATCTGATCACAACGTATTGATTAAAAAACGGAACATCAGTAACTTTATAAAAGTAGAGAAACCTGACAGCCACCCCCTTAGTCAAGTGACCAAGGGAACATCAGCAGTAATGGGACAGAGGGACCTCCCGAGCTGCCTGGTGGGAGGAACTGAGGAGGGGCAGTGCCGCGTCCTGGCATTCCT